TTCATACATAATTATATATGATAAAATGAATTATTTAATGATTGATTGATTAATTTATTTATTCGCCAGGTTCTRACCAACGAAAAACAGTGTTCATAGTATTCTCAGTCGTGTGTGGTATTGGTATTCTATTATTGTTTCTGTTAAGACAACCTCCTTCCAAAGCAGAAAAGGTAAAATAAATAAGGTTTAGATGCACCTTCCTTGTCYTTTCTGTTTTAATGTATGTACTATGTACTTTTAAATCTTCTGCCTTCAYATTAAAATGAATTATGAATTCCTGAATGACTCATTTTGTGCTTTGATTTAGATAACAGTGTCAAATGAAGTAGATTCTTTTAGYGCATCAAATTCAACAAGGTATTGTACACAGGAAAATAGCAGCTTCTTCGACACACAGATGTCAGCTCAATCTAGATTTCTCTTGTAATGGACAAGTAGCGTAGCGTATTGGAATGGAGAGAGAAATGTGTTCCTATGGGAACGAGAGGACTGGGCCCAGTATGCTAATGAGTATATAATGTGTGTCAAGGGATTGTGTAATCAGTGTGGTCCAAGCTTTGATTGACTTTTGAACTTTAGAATTTTTGATGGTTGTATTACAGAGTGATTTACTGCGCTCAATGCTAACTGTATCATGATTGTAGACGATGCTCAYGTGTGATTAAAGTGTGGAGATTTGAGCCTGGACCCGTCTAGGCAGATATWWGTTGTGTTAGTTTATGAACTCGAGGGAACAGTAGGAACTCCCAATTATGCTGCTAAAGRATACCTTTACTCGTCTATCATCTCAAGAATGTTTTATGACAATTTTTCTAACAAGTATCCTTTGTTTACAGTGTGGGTGCTCCTCGTCGACCTGGTCCATTTGAAGCTTTGAGTAAGTGATTTGTACTATATGCAGCAAAGTCCTAATCAAAGAGATTATTATAGATTATTAGAAGGACATTTTTTTCGATGAAAAATCATTAATATGACTTAATTGAATTTTCTATTTTTCAGAAACGTCCTTYGAACTATTCTTCACTAGAGATATGTTTCTTTTGAGTTTATGTTTTGCTTACACAGGTTAGAAATTAATAAAATAATATAGATAGTATAACTGTCTGAATAAAGAGATGAAATAATGTTGATAAGTAATATATACAATATGAGCGGGCGATCTGTATGAGGATTTAAAACAGCGTTCTGTTTTAAACCTCATGCAGATCACACGCGAATATTGTATATTACTTATGAAACGTTGAGGTAAACTAGCTCAGGTTTTAAAGAAACTTTTGAAAAAAAATTCAATCTGACTGAGAAAATCAGAGTTAAAGTTTAAGCAAATGAACAAGAAATCTTTATGTAATATACAACTCTCTTCATGGGCTATGATTTCTATTGTGTTTTGTCTTATGAATATTAATGATTACCATATGGAGTAGCAACTCCCCAAAATGATAACAAATGAATGGCATCCCCAAGAACCATACATTCTCTGATATATCAAATGATTGCCTCTTAATGAGTATTAAACCAAATTGACCCAAACTTGAAAGCAATACTAATTTTTGTATGGTTTTTCATGTTATAAGGTTTACATTTTGTTAAGTGGATGATTTTCACACTCATTCTCAGTCTATCTTGAATTTATATTGTGTATGTGTAACACAAAACAACATAGCAGATAACAACTGCTTTTCTTAACAGGAATAGAGTTAACCTTCTTCAGTGGTGTCTATGGTACTTCTGTCGGTAAGCAAACCATTGTAAAATATTTAATGTTCAATAAAAAACTCTAGTTTACAATACTTGAATATTTAATGTTCATATTTACTATTAAATTTCTCAGCATTCATTATAATGATTGATAATTTCTTTATTTTACAGGAAATTCGCTTCAAATTAAGCATTCTCAAGAGATGATTGGTTTGTCTGGTGCTTTTATTGGTGTAGGGGAAATTATTGGTAAGAGAACACTGTGAYGTGCCATTATGCAGGCCCTTCTTCTCCCCCTTGTTACCTCTTCCGTCCCCCTCATCATTCCTATATCCATCCACTGCTATACTGTAATAATAATTGATAATTATCAATKTGGTAGTGTAACAACAATGCATTGTTGCGCTAGTAAGCTCCACYTTACCTGTGTTACAAAATAGTTATGTAAAAAAGATAAATTTAACACGGTAAAAAAGTAGGTGAAATAACTTACTGACGTTTCGGAGGYTAATCCTTCGACGGAGTAAAGAGCAAAATGTTACAAAATGACTATTCTAAACTTTAATGGCTTGACTGTATAGTAGTTAAAACAACACAAAAACGCCTTTCGAACGTTGGTAGAACAATTTTTATGAGTATTCTGTAATTCAATGTTTTCTGAAATAGMTGTACAGGGGTTTCATTATATTTTAATCTACTTTAAAGTAGATGGCTGTTAGGAATAATTATTATTAATAATTTATTTAATAATAATTRTTATTAATTATTATTTATTGAATTAAACTTGAAACTTAGTAAGCATATGTGAATCATAAGCCAGGGTACATAAGCATTAYGACCTCCCTTTTGGCAAAATAGATGGCCTAAGGAGTCAAAATAGATGGTAGAGTTCTAATGAAACTCCCTGACAGTATAAAGTAACATTTACTCTTGGTATATTTAGGGGGCCTTGCATTTGGAATATTTGGTAAAAGAACCAACAAGTTTGGACGTGATCCTATTGTTCTGTTTGGTATGCTGATACACTGGGCAGCATTCATGATGATATACCTTAATATTCCATCTATTTCACCCATGAAAAAGAACAGTAATGATGCAYATATTTCACCAGTTAAGTAAGTAAAAGTATAACAGAAGAATGATCTTTGCTATCATCAAATTATTGTCTGTGTTATAAACATCATAGAGGAAAAGAAAATTTATTCTTCATTATTTTGTAATAGGAATAATTGAATAGACAAAAGAACATTTGCAAGGCTATAGTCTTTTTTCTGTAATGTACACGTGTTTTATATCATCAGGAAACGTTTTTTTTTTGTAATTTAAGGTGTATCCAACACAAAATTTATGTTCYGTTTTTAACTGTTTGTTGTAGTGTTTATATGGCTATGGTCTGTTCCTTTCTGCTTGGATTGGGGGATAGTAGTTTCAATACACAGGTATTTATACTACATTGTTTTGAGTTCTTGAGTTAATGTTTGCTGATGAATTTGCTGATCGATGATTTATTTATTGGTTGATTGATTGATATGTAGATTGATTGGTTGATTGATAGATTGGTTGGTTGATTGATTGATAGATTGGTTGATTGATTGGTTGATTGATTGATAGATTGATTGGTTGATTGATTGATAGATTGTTTGATTGATTGTTTGATTGACTGATTGATAGATTGATTGATTGATTGATTGATTGATAGATTGGTTGACTGATTGATTGGTTGATTGATTGATAGATTGGTTGAGTTGTTGTTGATATTAAAATGGATTGATGATCGATCGGTTGAAATGATAAAAACTAGTGGTTAACTAGTATGATTGATTAGAACATTGGTGATAAACTGAATATTAACGATATTAATAACAAATAGTTGATTATAAATCAATTATTGATTGAATATTATAATTATAATTATTATTTCATTATAGTGATTGATAAACTGATTTAACCATCCATTTTTTCATCCATTCATTCTTCACATCTTTATTTCCATTTTTTTACCAAATCCTTCTCATACAGTCAGTGATGATTTCTCTTTTTATTGTCTGCAGATTTATTCTATACTTGGCTTTGTATATTCTGAAGACAGTGCTCCAGCATTTGCYCTTTTCAAATTTATGCAGGTATAAATCAGCTATAATAGGTAATTATATCAGTTTTTGAAGAACATGTATTGGAAAGCATTTGCTAAGTGAGCATGTCTGTCTCCATCTAACCTTCACCTTGGATTTCYACCTGTACCAATGAAAAACTAAACCAGAGGTGAAAATAAATTGTTTTTTCTTTCTGTTATGTTCCAGTCTCTGTTTGCTGCTATTGCATTTTTCTATAGYAAGGAAATCCAGTTACAGTGGCATCTGCTTATTCTGGTAAGATATCTTCAAAAAGGGGGGAGGGGGAAAGGGGGGGCTTAGGGCTTAGTGAGAGAYGTGATGGYCCAGTGGTTTTGGGCATTGGACTTCGKGTCGACAGGCCTGGGTTCGATTCCCAGATGGGGCGATCAYGTTGTGTTATTTGGCAAGACACTTTACTCTCTCAGTGCCTCGTCTTCTCGGAAAAGGAYGTCTCTCTACACTTCTCATTAGCAGCAGAGAGACGTGAAAGAACYCACACCACTATTCGACTAAGAGTAGGGCATGGAGTTCCCGGTGGTGTGGCCAGGGATCATCTCACCAGCATTGAGGTTGGCTTGGTGGATTATTCGTATAAAGGTTGCTAGTCAATGAGACCTCATACTAATAAACAGCCAGTAACCATAGTAACCATATGAACAGTGCTTAGTGCTGGAACTATGTAGATGTAGATGTTCACTGTATTGGTAATTTTCATTTTGGAAATAAGTAATTTCATTGAAAAAATGTTGTATTATTATTTATTAGTGTTTGATTGTTTTTCTGTGCTGTATTGAGAAGAAAGTTTGGGGAGTTAACTGGATTTGTGTTGGTTCATTTTTATTGGAAAGTTTTAGGGTGTAAGATAAGACAAGTGTAAATTGCCAATGATATTTCATCATTGACATCCAGAAAATTWATGAGCTTGTTTGTGATTTTCAGGTGATAATGTCATTGCTGGGAACACTAGGGTTCTTTGCTGTTGAATGGAAAGTCAAGAAACAATTTCAAAGTTACCAACGACTAAACTAAACACACAGCTGAATATATAAACTGAAGGCCATGCAATGAAACAWAAGAATTGCTTCACTGCAATGTTGCCTACAAATACATTAGCTATATTCAATATTATATACCCTGCWAAGAGTCCTTATCACAGGGTTCGTGCTACTGGTCCTTGATATCCTTGAAAAGTCCTGGGATTGAAAACTCTTTATCAAGGGTACTTGGAAAGCACTTGAAAATAAAAAAAGCCTAAAATGCATGGGAAACTCCAGCCTTGAATTTGAAGCAATCTTCAGTGTTTGATTGAAATTCAAAGATCTTTATAAAACTCATAGCACAAAACATTGTGAARCATTACTGTAAATGCAATCTTAAAAATGGTCCTTGAAAATTGCATGAATTATAAATTTTAGTCTGCTTAAAAAGTACTTGAAAAGTCTTGGAAATGTGTGATGAAAACAATGTTTTCACACGACTACTATATTTAGACACTTTCAACATTAAACTAAAAAGGAGATAACAATGGACATAACATACTTTAGCAGTTATAAGTGGTGTTTATGTTGCACACTCTTATTGCCTGACAAATGACAAAGAAAACAAAGTATTTTGTATTGAAATTTAAAACAAACTAACCTGCAATAGTGGTAGATTATAGGCTTGTATGGGACTGTGTAGTTGGCTATAGGAAATGATATATCAATCTGGGGTGGGCAGTTCAAAGCACYAATCCAGGGTTAACTCTATAGGTGTTTCGKTAGGTAACCTAGGGTTAACACTGGTCAGCCTTTGAATGACTCAGCCCTTGGTATATTTGATTCACTTAAAAAACAATGGCTCCAGCTGGTCTACAGGTTTTACTGGAGCTGGCTTATTGTAACTAAACAATATCAGAGGGTGTAGTCCAGTTKAGGGTAATTTTAAATACTGAACTCTTGAAGTGAACTTACTAGAGCACAGAAAGCTTCAATAAGTACTAGAGTGAAGTCACCAGACCTGTGGAAAAAAACTTGACTATTATTTTGTGATAAATCAAATAGACACTAAAGAAAACAATGCATTATCTATTTTACAGGTTTTTGACTTCACTCTAACAAATAGAGCTAAATATCATTATAAATAGAGATGATTAGGCAATARAAAACAAAGGAATTAGAATAATTCAGTAGCACTTAGTGGTTGTGTTTTACTGTAAGTTAAATTTATAATCATTTGTACACAGTTAACAACAAGAGCTGAGCTCAGTACTGTAAAATGCGCTAATCAGGCTAGAGGGGTTTTCTTGTGAAAGGAAATTACAAAAATACATCTACACAAAAGATTTATATAGAGTCTTAGATTCATGTTCATAGTGAACCCCAAAGGTGAAAATGTTTTGAAAAAAAAAAAATAGTGATACGCCCATATACGGGAAAGCAATGGAATTTATATACAAATTAAAAGAGTGAAGCTGTAATACAGGAAACCAACGATCACCTTTTTGTTGTCTTTTAAGTTTTGTTTTGTTTCATAAAATAACTAATAAAATTGAATATTAGATTTTCGATAAAATCAGAACGTTGTATATTGCCACAGGTTACATGACCTGGACCTACAATGTAGTCTTTTCTTGATGAATACAAAATAAAATCCAGAAAATCAAAAAAAAAAGTATCAAGATCTCTTAGAGGGGTCATATTCCACCCAAAGCTTCTCAAATTCATCCTTGAACTTCTTGACAAGGTGCATATCATTAGATATAACGACGTTTTCCCTGTTGCCAGTCACTGCTTGTCTTGTCCAGTTAAACGACCCATTCAAAAGAATCATATCATCGATGATCGCAAATTTGTGGTGCATGAAGAACGACGACAAATCGTGCCTGACTAAGATTCCTACTTCTCTGAATTTCTGTATCTGTGAGCCTGAAGATCCCATCTGTTCGTCGTCAGTAAGAACTCGTACAGTTACCCCATTGTTATGAAGTTCTACCACAGCGTTCGCTAGTTCGTGGCAGTTGATTGTAAAAACACAAACATCTAAGGTTTGTTTTGCTCGTGAAATAGTCTTGATGAGCTTGCTAAGGGAAGTTTCTTCGTGCGCATACGGGCATTTACTTCGTTTACAACCAAATCCTTGGAGAAAAGAATTGCATGCAAGTTTCTTGTCGGGGAAAAACAGAACTTCTAAAGATTTGTTTCGCTGTTGTTTCTTGGTAGATTTCCGTGAGCTCCTCGCATAGTTATAAAGAAAGTACGCTGCCCCAGACAATGTTATTATAGTGCAAGAAAACCTTATGAATCTCTCTAAATTTCCTGTAAAAATATTCTTAGTGCATACCGCAACTTCGTCCGCCATTTTGGAATTATGACTAGAGCCAGTTCCTTCGGTGTTTATTCACGAGAAGAGACTGGGAAAGAATCCCGTATCTGCGGGATTCGGTTCGTGACTATCACGAGACACATCACCTCCATAAGCCGGTTGATCAAAAATCACGTTAAAAAATGGCCAATATTTCGATTTGACGTTCTAGTTTATTGCACAACAACAAAAGGCTGTAAACATGGCTGAAGCTGTGCTTCTTCAAAGTTGTTTTCAACTTTTACCGAGTAAATCGTTTTTTGAAGTTCGGTTGACGCGGAAGAAACTATTTTATCAAAAGACATCGATTGATTCTTGCTGCAATACATCAAAGTCTCCTCCTTTTTCGATTAATGTGGAAGATATTTACGGTGCTAAAGTCTTCAAGAGAAAATTGGAAGCCGATTTCAATGCTTATTTGCATATTTTCACTTGCCCCGTCAAAGGAAAGAAGCGAATACGAAAGAAAATTCGGTTTAAAGTCTGTGGATGGGAAGATTTAGAGGCGAATATCAGAACTGCCGAACGATGGCTGAAGATGATTTTATGGCTTGCGAAAGATGTTGAAGTTGAGGTTGAGAAAATTAATGGTAATATGACATTTAGTTGATTTCATCATCACCATCATCATTGATCATCATCATCATTGACAATGCAACTACCCCTCCCCCAACCCACAAATTTTTGTAACTTTTCAGTTGTCAATGTCTTCTTGCACATRGCAAATTTCGACGTGAACAAAATTATTTACTGTCATTTACTGTATTTTTAAGACAGGAAACTGCCACCTCAGCGTAAATTACTTGTGTTCGTCAACCCATTCAGTGGCTCAGGAAAGAGTTTGAAGATTTTCAACAAAAATGTGGAGCCAATGTTCAATGAAGCATCTGTAGACTATACTTTAATTGTCACAGGTACTGTTTGCCAAAGAAAATCACAAAAATATGTGTTTTAGAAAGGCGTTTGTTTTTATATTTTTGCCTTGCATCAGTCCATTTGTCCTTGAGATTTAATGTGTGATGTTGCTTATTTGTTTCCATTAAAAACTTCTAGAATATGGTGGTCATGCCGAGAAGATTGCACTGGAACTTGACCTTGAGGAATGGGATGGCCTTGTGATTTGTTCAGGAGATGGGCTAGTTTATGAGGTAAGTAATCACATTGGCCAAAGGAAGGT